AAAAGAAAAAAAAAAGCCATTCCATTTTTCTTTTACAGCAGCGCAGTGCAATCTTGCATGTCTGCTAGTTCGACTCTGAGAGGGATCCCTGGTAAGCTTTGCTCAAGTTGCCCCGAACTGACTGCTGCGATGCGAGGGAGGAAGAAAGTACAAAGTCAACACCAAATTGCGTTGGCGGATGATGCCCTCCAGGGAATACCTGTCATCCACTAGGTATCGGAATGATAGTGTTCTTCTACGCTCGTGTGTGCACTCACTTAAAGGCAAAGGGGGGACGAAGCTAGAAACGAAGAAGCGAAATGAACCCTTCTTTCTCAGTGGTGTCAAAAAAAAAAAAAATGGGTGTGATGTGATTCACCCATTCCCCTCGATCGATCGGTAGTCATCGCCTTTCCAGAATACTTGATGCCGGAATCTCGCAGTATCCGTAGATCCAATCGCCAAAATCCCGTCCCATCGCGGACAGCTTGTAGTGGAGGACTCAGAGCTCCCCAACTTGCAGTGACGTTGCGCGCGTTGACATCACCACACCCACGCACGCCGTTGACCACAGGCTTTGACTAGAGTGGACTGGGGGAGATTTGAGGCTATAGGCAAGGCGACCACGTCGGCACTCGGTCGGCCTGTCTGAGCGGCGATGATGACGAGAGCGTAAGCTCTAGACAGTGGCCGGGCTTGTTTTTGCTTAGCTCCAGCCGACCAAATCGCCACCCCAAATCCGGCCTTTTGTTTAATCCAGTCCACGGCCGCAGTGCCGAGGAATATACCGCGCTGCACCAATTTGTCCACTAGGCAGGGTATATGCCGCCACTGTGCGTTCTTCCTCAAGAACACAGTCTTGAGCTACATGATGATCGAAGGAGAGAGCGTCGCGGAGAATAGAATTCACATTTGTAATTGCCATTTGCAAACCCGAGGAGGAGGAGGAGGAGGAGGAGGAGCTAGATTTGATCTAGCTCGATCGACTGACATACTGATCAGTGATTTGATTACTATATGCTTGCTTATTCTCTTCTGTTTTTTTGTTCTGCTTGATGGTCTCTTACTCTTTTCTTTGTACAGGCTGCTGCTAAGCTCTATTTAATGTGGTGCTTGATCGAGCCTGTGAAGAAATCGTTTTGTTATCTCAAGGATTGTGACCGTGGCTGCGAGGAGGGTGAATCGCGGCCGGTGTGTAATCTATGTGGAACAGGTCCTCGGTGTTGTCGTGCTTGGACGAGCTCTTGGTGGATGAGCTCGTGCTTGGTACTGCTGATCCAGCGGCGTCTCTTTCCTTCACAGTTCTGGAAACCTTTGCTTGAGCTTCCGGTGCTGCTTGCGACTTGCTCGTCGCCGGGTGATCTGCAAACTGCGCTGGAGAATCTAGCATCTGCAAGCAAGAATGAATCATATGAGAGAAAAGCCCAGTGTGATCAAACATTGTATTGAAAGCACCTTCCGAGACCAACGGATTTTGGGACGAGAAGCAAGCTGGCGCGCCAGCTGATGATCCAGTGCGGTATCTATATCTGCGACATTGCGGTCGCCATCTAAGAAAGATCAAGTACCAAGTGGATGCAAATCATAGAAATATATATCGCGAAATCAAGCTAAACAAACCTCTTGTTTGCTCCTTCTTGGTAGTGGTATCACCCTCGCAAACAGCCTCGCCAGGGAGCAGGAGTAGAACAAAGGCCGCTGTGGCAAGCACCGCGAGCATCCACAAGCTTGCCATTCTCGAGAATCTCTTTCTTGGAAGAAGAGGGTCTTTGTGTGGAGATGGTGGAGAGAGCGCAAGAGCGAGAGCGAGCGAACGGCGAAGTGCGGTGTGAGGAACCGGGTTGCTGCCTGGATCGAAAGCACTTATATATACTACATGATATGATACTATATAACAATACATAATACTATTATATCGTGTATATGATATCACTGTGATCACTGT